CTTTCCAGAAAACTCCTCTGACGCCCCTCTCGCCCCGGGCAGGGCTGCTCTGGTCTGGGCTCACTCTCTTGTCCTGCCCCTGCCGCTGCCTCGGCTTGTGCTCCCCGGCCTCCCGCCTCCCAGCCGTTTTTAAAATTGTGGTAAAATACACGTAACCTTCACTGTCCTCTTGGACAGCGTCCAGCTCAGCAACATCTGGTGCATCTGCAGTGCTGTCCCGCCAACACCGCGATCCAGTTCCAGAACATTCCCATCACCCCCGGCAGACAGCCATCCCATCGGCGGGGTCTCCCTGTCCCCCTGCCCCGGCCCTAAGCCACCGCCAGCCCGCTCTCTGCCTCTGGGGTCCCAGTTCGGGACCTTTCACAGGGATGCGATCACGCAGCAGGGGGTCGCTGGTGGCTGCTTCCCACTCGGCACCGTGTTTCCGGGGCCCGTCCACGTGGCAGCGGGTGTTGGTGCTGCACTCCTTGCCACGGACATGCCACATCCCGCAGCGCGGATGGCCCCCTCCGGTGTCCCCAGCAGCAGTCCCCAGGGGGTGGCCGAGTGGGCCTTTCCCGCTTCCGGCTGCTGTGAGCGCTGCATTCCGTGTGAACATCAGTGGTCCGTGGTTTCGTGTCCGTCCCCGGGAAAGGGACTGTCCCTCACACAGTGACGTCGTGTTTAACACATCGAGCAGCCTGTTCGCCACGGCAGCTGCCCGGTGGGCGGCCTCGGTGCCCCACCTCCTTGCGCGGCGCGTGGGTGCTTGCTGAACCGTTTTGTTACCACCGTGCTGGTGCGAGCTCACTGGGCTGCTGATGTGCGTGTCCCCCCCGGCCAGCGACGGCGGGTGTCGCTCCTGCGGCCCTCGGCTACGTGAGCGTCTCTGGAGAATCATCTACGTTCTGTCCTTTCCCGTTTTTCGCTGGGCCATTTGTTCCTGTGTGGCCGAGCCCCATGGGTTCCTCACACGCTCCGGGCACTGGACCCCACCCGGTGGCAGATTGGGGGCCAGACCTGTCCCCTTTGGTGGCTCGTCCTTCGTTTTCTTGCGCGTGTTCTTTCATGTGCAAATTGTTTACCTTTGCTGAAGGGCATTTACTTTTTTGCTTCTTATGCTTCTGGTGTCAAAGTCACTATTGCCAAGTCCAACTAAATCATGCAGATTTGTTGTTTTTTCTAACAGTTTTATGGCTTTAGCATTTAGCTGTAGGTCTTTATTCCATTTTGAGTGAATTTCAGCACAGGGTGCAAGCCGAGGGTCCAGTTTCACCCTCGTGCGTACAGACACCCAGGTATGACGCCGTTTGTTGAGACTCTTCTTGCCCCATCAAGTGGCCCTGGCACCTGTTACTGAGTCAGCTGACCGTGGATGTGTGGTTTTGTTTCTGGACTCCGTTCTACGCCATTGCTGTGTGTGGCTATTCTTACACCATTACCATGTGGTTTTGATGACCGTAGTTTTATAGTTAAGTTCTGAGGTTGGGAAGGGTGAGTTCTCCAACTGGTTCTATTTTTTTTTAGATTTTATTTATTTATTTTTAGAGAGAGGGAAAGGGAGGGAGTGAAACATCAATGTGTGGTTGCCTCTTGATCACCCCCTACTGGGGACCTGCCCTGCAACCCAGGCCTGTGCCCTGACGGGGAATGGAACCGGCAGTGCTTCGGTTCACAGGCCTGTGCTCAGTCCACTGAGCCACGCCAGCGGTGGTTCTGTTTCCAAGATCGCTCTGGCCACTCAGGACCCCTTGCAGTGTCTGTTTCTCCCCATTTCCCGTGGGAGGTGGTTCACACACAGCTGCAGGTGAGGGCCCACCCTGATGACCTTGACTTAGTTAATTACAGCTACAAAGACCCTATTTCCAAATAAGGTCACTGTACTGGGAGTTAGGGCTGCTGGATTTTGGGGGGACACAGGTGAACCCACAGCAGACCCAGCACCTGGGGCGACGTGCTCCTCATCCCTCGTCACTGACCCAGTACATGAGCTCCCACCTCAGAAAAGGAACTCGCAGGCAACCTCACTCAGTTGGCGGGGGCAGAGCCGGGACGCCATTCTGAGCCCTGGGGGGATCTTTCCGGAAAGGCCTGTGGCTCTCCCCTCAGGCCATGGCAAGCATGGGGGGGAGGGGACACTGCCATGTGCTGAGCTGCACGCGCACATCTCTGTCCCCACCATGGTGTCTCCCAGGTCTGAGCAGACCCAGGGGTCCCAGGAGGCCAGGGTGGGCAGGGGCGAGCAGGCAGCCGAGGGGACATCTGCGGGCAGGGGGGCTGTGCCTTGCTCTGTGCCTCCTGAGGACTCTCTGGGGGCTTCTTTCTTTGTCCTTCCCCCCAATTCTGGGGACTGTCACACTCTCCTCTGTGGGCTTCTCGGCCACCAGGCCGGCGAACCCTGTGGGGAAGGCCCAGGCCGGCTTCCAGGAGGAGAGGCAGCACGAGGAGGAGCAGCTGGGGCACTCGGAGCCGGGCTCTGGCGACGCTGCCCAGTCGAAGGGACAGGTGAAGGGATGCCCCTCCCCAGGACTGGACGGCAAGTTCTTTTTATTGAGGTGACATACAGCACTGCCATTAGGTTCGGGTGAGGGAGGTGTCGATTCAGCACCTGCGTGTTTTGTGAAATGACCACTGTGGTAGGTCTAGTTAACCCCCATCACCTCACAGTTACACGGGTTTACTCCTTGCGATGAGAACTTTTAAGGTCTATTCCCTTAGCAACTTACAAGTATGCAATAGTGCCGTTACTATAGTAACCACGGTGGGCCTCTCACCCCTGGGACTCAGACGGGCTCCCCCGCTGTCTGAATGCAGAGGTTTGGGTGAGCGCCTTTGTGAGCTGGAGTGTGGCCGGGAAGCCGGCCCTTTTCACTTACGTGCACACCTGTGAGCGTCCCCAGACCCAAGCACAGCATGCACACGACGTCTGTTCCGTTCATCATGACAGAAGTGCTGAATTACATGCAGTTCTGTGCCAGACGGAACCCTCTTCTGAGCTCGTGGGCTTTCCGAGACCCTAGGTGCGTCTTGCTGACGGCCCCAAGTACCTCGGGACCGGCCCCGACGCTGACGCGCTCGGCTCGAAGCTCCGGGGTGCGGTGGATGCCAAGGCGCTGCCTGTGCCGCGGCCGCTGCAAAACCCACCCCGAACACTATTTGTGCTTTTCACCTTCTTTTACAAAAGTGAAACATCCCCTTCGGGAGCCCCCTGGTCAGTGAGGACGGGTACACGGCAGATCGTGGGTAAAATCGAAGTGGCACAGAGTGAACCTCTGTCAATCCGGGGAACCTGTAGCTGGAGGGGTGCCTCCTGCAACCTCACTGAATTACTGACTCTAACAGTTGTTGCGTGGCGTCTTCAGGGTTTTCGACACGTGATGTTCTGTCATCTGCCAACAGTGGCAGTTTGCCTTCTTCCTTTCCAATCTGGATGCCCTTTCTCTCTCCCGCCCGACACCGAGTAGAGCGGTGAGCGCGGGCACCCTGGTCTCCTGATCTCGGAGGAAAAGCTTCCGGCTTTTCCCAGTGAGTCTGGTGTTGGCCGTGGGCTCATCAAATAATATGGATGTTGAATTTTATCATGTTTTCTTCCACATCCACTGAGGTTATCACTTCATTTTTACCCTTCACTTTATTAATGTATTGCCTTGATTTATTGCTGGGTGTCGAGCCATCGTTGCATCCCTGGAATGAATCCTGCTTGATCGTGGTGGACGCCCCCTTTAAAGTGCTGCTGGGTTCACTTTGCTAGCATTTCGTTGAGGTCATAGTCCAACAGGGCTTAACCTGCTGTGCGCCACAGGCCTCTTCTTGTAGTGTTTACTGACACCCAAAATGAAACGGGAAGGGTTAGGAAGGAGGTGCTTATGTTAAATACAGCTCTCCCCACAGAGCCCCGGGGGGGCGGCCCTGTGGCTCTGGTCTGTGCGGAGTCCCGGGAGCTGCCAGCAGGGGCTGGGTCCTGGGCAGGGTGGGCAGGTCTGGGTGGGCGGTAGCTCAGAGGAAGTGTGGAGCGCAGGCTCTGGTGGGGCAGGGAGACAGGTCGGGCGGAAGCCATGCCTCTCCCAGCGTGCAACCCAGGTGAGGGGGAAGGACAGCGGGGCAGCTGCAGCCTCCAGAGCCAAGGCTTCCTTCCGCAGCACCCACCCTGCCCACGTGCCGACTCCAGCTGCACCGCACCGAGTCCCGGGCCCTGTGAGGGCGGCACCGTGACCTCCCTGCTCCCCGCCCCCCTCTCCTGTGCTGGGCCAGCAGGACTCCTGTGGTCCACGGTCATCGGAAAGCCCTTCCCGGGGGGTCCGGCCCCGTGGGGTTCCACCCTGCCAGTCTTCCAGGGTCAGGCATGCGGCCCACCCGCAGTACACGCTGTCAACAGACGGGGAGCATCTCTGGCCCTTAAAGGGGGTGACAGCCCTGACAGGGACCACCTTCGAGGCCCAGACCCAGGGCCCTTCCATGCCCCCGCTGCCCTCCAGCTGGGGCAGGACCTTCCCCCGCCGTGCTCTTCCCACAGGTGCCCTGCACGTACCTACGAACACTGGCTGGGCACCTGCTGTGCTGGCGCTCGGCCTCTGGTAGTGATGAACGCCACGTCCTTGTGCACGTGAGACTGCCCTCAGTGACGGGGACACTGAGCACACAGGACATGTCCAGGGCAGCGGTGAAGGGGGCCCACCTGGTCCCCGCTCAGGGGCAGGGCTGGCGGTCAGGCTTCAGGAGACACTGAAACAGCCCATGAGCTGGTAGCAGCTGTGTCACCTTGGTGGCTGGCAAGTCAGACGGGAAAGATAGCTGGGTTATGGGGTCCAGGGTGACGCGTGGCCGCGGTGGGGTTGGAAACCGGACAGACAGTTGTCCATTGAACAGCAACCCTGCCACGTTCGTCCCCGAAGCCCCTGGGTGCCTTGTTTTCGTGCCTCCTTCCAGAGACAGCGTCTTCGTGTGCATACGTGTACGTGCGTGTGCGTGGGTGTGCACGGCGCACGGGGCCCGCCACGCTGACGCCCCTCTGCCCGCAGGTCTCCGTGCTGGTCTTCATCGCCCTGGCCTTCCTCACCTGCGTCGTTTTCCTGGTCGTCTACAAGGTGTACAAGTACGAGCGCCTCTGCCCCGATGGGTTCGTCCTCAAGGTAAAGCGCCACCCTCTCCCACCCCCACCGCACCTCACGTCTCACTGGACTTTGAAGCCCCCGAGGGACGGTGGAACCCTTGAGCAGCTGTCACTGAGGCTGGTGAAGGTCCTTGGGAAAGGGCCTCGTGGGAGGACCGCCTGGGAGGGCACTGCGGTGTGGCGGGCCCTGGGCGGGGAGGGCGGGCTGCCGAGGGCCACGCGGGGTCTGGGAGCAGGGCTGGCGCGCACCCAGGCTGCTCACCAGTCACAGAACAGTGGCTTGCTCTCTGGGCCTGGGACAAACTTCCCCTGTGAAGGGGCAGACTCACCCGGCCTTCCTGCAAGGCCAAGGTCTGCCGGGCACCCTGTTCCAGGGGACCCTGTGCACAGCCGGCCGGCCGGCATTGGGGGTGCAGCGGCCCTCACAGCCTGCTCTGCAGCTGCATCTCCGGGGACTGGCATTTTCCACCAGCACCTAATGCGGGGTGTGGGGGATCCTTCCTGGAGAACACAGCTGGGGGTGCTGGGAGCTGCTGGGCTAAAGTTGGAGGAAGGAGAGGTACGAGTGTGGGGGGGTCCCTTCCCTTCCTCTGTGCACATCTGTGTGTCACATGCTGTCCCCAGATGGTCTGCTGGGCCGGGTCACACCCTGGTCCCCCTCCCCCTGCACGTTCAGGTGCACCCCAGTGCAGCCCCGTGTGGTGCGGGGGGTGCAGTGCAGGACGGGGTCAGGAGGGCCCCGGCTGTGCAGGGGGGCAGCAACAGGCCCATGTCCAGAAACTGCCGAGTGCTGGGAAGGGCCCGGGGTCGAGATCCGACAAGGGGTGTTGGGCGGGTGAGGACACCCCAGGCTGGGCCTGTGGGCCCCAACCGGCACAGCAGAGCTTCTGGGGTGTGTGTGTGAGGGGGTCCCCGAGGGATGGCTGGGGAAGGCTCCTGCTGCCAGGCGATGTCCTGAGGGACTCAGAACAGCAGAAGCGGGCGGGGGAGGATGCGAGGCTCCTGCATTTGCCTCCGCTAGGAGTTCCACAGATGGGGTTCAAAGGCAAGGCCGTGCTGCCCAGACCACACCTCAGTTTCACCTCAGAGGACTGTCTGTGGACATGCCCTTCCTCTGGGCAGAGCTTGCCTGAGAGGAACTTACCAGAGGGGGCATGTGGACCGGGCTGTTGGGGATGCATTTTTGGGGTGACCCCACAGGGTCCCATTTTCCTTTGTTTCCCACAGAGGGAGGAGGCACGGGGCCGGGTCGATGACCCCTCTGACCCCCAACAGGGGCTGAGGGCTGTCCCTTCCACGGAGCTGGCTGGGAGGGGCTGGGATGCAGCTTCCTGGGGAGCCCCCTTCCCCACCTTTTCCAGGCGGCTCTGGAGCCCTCCTCACCCTGGGGTTCTGGCCCCCCCAGCACCCAGGCTGCTGCCTGCCCAGCAGGCTTTGGTCTCCTCCAGGTGCCGTAGGACCCTGTGCTGGTGATCAGCGGGGGAAGGGACAGGGCGAAGGGGAGGCAGCAGTCCAGGCTGGGGCCGGCAGAGCCGTCCCACCTGGGCCCGCAGGGCCCCTGACTCTGTTCCCAGCCCCTCCTGTCTGGGCAGCCACCAGCCTCCCCTGCCCCCAGGCTGGTCTCCTTTGCCAGATGCGCACCACCACCCCCCAGGCCTGCCAGCGACCTGGCTCACAGGAAGCCTGTCTTCCCTTCCCCCTCATCTGAGCGTCATTTCTGGTGGGTGCATCAGAACCTGAGCTGTTTTCTCGATCCACGTGACCGCCAGCGTCAGATCATGCGGTGGGAGGGCCAGTGCCCTGGGACACAGGCCCCGGAAGCCCACACACCGCTCTGTCATGCCCTGGTCCGTGGGCCTTCACCAGGGCAGGCGCACACTGCCCCCTGCCCCCAGCTGACCCCGCGTCTGGCCGGCCTCCTGTCTTTCAGAATGCCCAGTGCATTCCCAATGGCTTGGCGGCCTACTATGCGGAGCAAGACCCCCACTCCCCGGATAAGTTCTACGCTGTCGTGAACCACTACAACCTGGCCAAGCAGAGCATCACCCGCTCCGTGTCGCCCTGGATGTCCGTGCTGTCGGAGGAGAAGCTGTCGGAGCAGGAGACGGAGGCGGCCGAGAAGTCCGCCTAGCAAGGTGGGCGAGGTCCTTGTGTGCAGCCCGAAGGTAACAAAGGGACTTTGAGGGACATTTCATTAAACATAACTACCGATAATGTAGAGGTTACTCATTTACGGTGCAACCGCTTCTGTTTGCTACTGCTGCTTTGCAAATGAAACCCGCTGCAGACCTCCCGCGGGCAGAAAGTCAAGTGCGCATCCACGGTGCCCGAGAGCACTGACACACTTCCCACGTTGAGGGGTCTCAACCGAGCTACTCTGTTGGGGTCCATTTGACGTTGTCCAAAAATAAATTTACCCGGACGTGCAAGGGTCTGGGTTTCAGACAAATGGTGCACTTGCAGAACTGATTTTTTAAACCGCCTTGCTGTCTGCTGACCTGCGTCCCACCCATGCCTGGCGTGCCCCCAGCTTTGCTCAGAGCGAGCTGCACTCCCCGCCCTCGCCAGGGGTGCCCCCACAGACCACCAGGGCTCACGTGGTGAGCGCTGTGGAGGGGGAGGGACAGGTGCCATCAGGTCGCTGTCGGGCCATGTTTTGCTCAAGTGCATGTTGACTAACAAGGCATTTTTGGGGTACGGGACCCTGGAGGGAGAGGACCTCCCTGGAGGTGGTCTGCCACTCGGTGACCAGTGCTGGCCCTTCTGTTCACAGCTGTTACGACTCAATTTGCACCAACAGCCCTATTGGCAAGTTAGTTTTTGGAGAACTAGTGGGTGGGGAAGTGAAGACGTGAGGGTTGGTGAGCCGAGGCTGCTCCTGTTTTAATTCTGTGGAGCAGCAAACGCGCTCCTGGGATGTGAGCAGCAGGCGGGAGAGGCTGGGGCGGGGCCAGTGCAGCGCCTTGCAAGGCCAGTGATGGCGTTTCAATTCCCAATCTCTGTAAAAAGTTGTCTCAACCTGAATCTTGACATTAAAGTATGTTTACAGAACCGCCACTTAGATAACAGTGTATAAGACGATTAAATACAGCAGATGAGCAGACATTCTCTCCCACGTGATCCGAGTGTGTTGTTTCTGGCGGACGCTCCGAGGTCCCCGGGTCTAAGTCATCAGAGGTGAACAGCGCAGTGCAGGCCTGTTGCGAATGGGCACAGTGGCCACAGCCGGCCCCACGCCGCCTCCTGAGCGCGCTTCTCTGACAGACCGTGTTTCTGCACCAAGGGCCCCTGCACACGGACCGCAACCACAGGTGACTGCAGGTGTGTGCACGCTGTGGCCCGGTGCCACGGGGCCGTGCGGAGCGCACACACAGTGGTGCCCACCTGTGGAAACGTCTCCCGCACCCATCTCCCTCCAGACACGGTCACTGCGCCAAGGCCAGCCCCACACGCATGTCCTGGCAGCAGGTCCTTTATTGATGGTCAGTTCATTCACATGTGACTCCGGACACTTTCTGTGGGCACGCAGAGAACACAAGGGTCCCCGTGGCTGCCTGAGGACCCCCGTGTAGCACGCAGTTCCCAGGGAGCAGCACAGGACCACCATGCCTGCGCGAGGGAGCCCTGTGGCCACCAGCACGCTCTGCACCGCGTGGCCCCAGCTGTCTCGTGTTTCCACCGCAAGTGGGCGTTCCCATCACGTTTCCTCGAGGGTCTGGGCACAGGCTGGTTCGTGGGCCCCTTCCTTCTCCGAACAGAAGCTCCTCAGCCCAGAGGCAGGAAGTCGGGGGCACGCCTCCTCTGAGCCCCGAGAAGGTGGCTGGTGGAGTTGGGGACCTGCTGGGCCCTCCCTGGGCAGCTCAGGCACAGCGGCCTCCGCTCAGAACAGCCCCTCCTGTCCGTCCGCCTTGCCCGGTGACCACTGCCACACCGCCCACTTCCAATCTGTGTTCACTGTTTTCTGTTTCAGCTAATAATGGGTTGGGTGTCCCTTCTGTGAATTATGTCTCAGCCCCCCTCCCCACAAATGGCTCTGTGGTAGAGGCTGGTCATGGCCACACGCTGTCGCCGAGGCGGAGACATGCCCGTGCTGGGCGCCTAGCCGTCATACCAGTCGAGGAAGAGCAGGGAGAAGGAGCACATGACCAGGAAGAAGAGCACCCACACTCGGAAGCCCGCGTTGTTCTTGATGGCCTGGGGGCAGAGCACGGGGGTTTGCCCGGGGCTCCCCGGACGTGGCCCATCCCTGGGCTGTGACCGCGTCCCTGCACCCTGGGCTTCCCCCTCAGCAGAAGGCTGTTTATTAAGCAAAACCCAAATGGTGGTTTAAAACCCACCAGAAAACACAGGGGAGGCCTTACCCTCCTGGCCAGCCCCCACTTGGAACCCCTGCACGGTTCTCCCGGGAACCCCCACACCCCGGAGGGCGCCCTCTGTACCAGGGTGGACACTGCACACAGCACCATGGCCACCCTGGCCGGTGTCCCTGGCAGTTCGATGGTGGTGGCCTAGGGACAGTCCTTTGTCTATGTCAGCCCAACCCCAGGATTCACTAAGAAAGGTCACGCAGCAGCTGGCTGTGGTGGCCTCCATACCACGCCCAGGTCTCTGGCCCATGGCGGGGCCCCACCCCTGGGTTTGGGCAGCAGGTCAGACCCTTGCTGAGAGCACTCACGCTCCCCTGCAGGGAGGTCAGCCACCGCCCCAGCGGAGCCCCGGGCTGGGCGGGAATGGACCGGGGCTGTCCAGCAATGGGGGGGAGGTCAGCGCTGCCAGCGAGGCTGATGCTCCCACCAGACTCAGGGTGGCACCAGGTCAGATGCGGGGCCCAAAGGGTACCCACCTCTCTGATGTCCTCGTTGCCCTCCTTGATGTTCTCTGTCGCTCCCACAACTAGCTGGTGGATGCTGTCGATCTCGGCTTCCTGGGGAAGGACAGGGCACATGAGCACCAGCACCTCCCCCGCCCCCAATACCCTGCACCAAACAGCAGCCACTGCACACAAAGGGCGGGTCCGCACGCCTGCACCCAGGAGCCCTCACGGCACTCATGAGGTGGGCAATGCTCCATTTTACAAAGGGGGGTTTAGGGCTCACAGAGGTTCAGTAAGTTGTCCAAAGTCACAGCCACCAAGCGGCAGGCCTGGAATTGGCCCCCAGTGCCTGGGTCCTCTCCACCCCATCCTGTGCCAGCTGCCAGGCAAAGAGAAGAGCTGCCAATGACAGAGTGGCCATCACACACCAGGGGCATCCCTTCCAGTCTCATTTGCTTTTTGTCAAGTCTGGAGAAGTTAGCTCAGATGCCTGTGCTTTCAAACGCACGTGCGAGCTTCAAAAAAGTGCTGCATCTCACCTACGAGTCTCTAAGAGAAAGAGTAAAATGGAACAGTCAAAATGGGGTGCGGGATGTTTGCAGAACATGGACTCCAGACGCTTGGGAAGCTTCCGGGTGGGGGGCAGCCTGGTCTTCCCATGGAACACCTGGCAGGTAAGTGCCAGGCGTCACACAGGCGGGACCCAAGCCCGGGCCGGGGCAGCAGCCTGGGCTCCCTTCAGGTGAGGGGAAGTGTGTGTGTGTGTGTGTGTGGGGGGGTAGAGTGGGGGTTCAGGGAGACCGGAATGGTCCAGAGCTGCAGAGCAGCCTTTAGCCACAGAGTCACACAGCCAAGGGCACACGGGCCAGCTCACATGTCTGCCCTCACCCTCTGGGAGGAGCTCAAGGTGGGAGCTGACGGACACCGTCCCTACCAGACCCCTACAACAGCATGAAGGCACCGAGACCCACAGCGGGCCGCACTGGGCCGGTGCCGGGCACTTCCTCTCCACTAGTTCCGTGTGGCAGGACATCAGCCTCAGCTTGCAGAGGAGACAGGGCTCAGGAGAGCCCCAGATGTCACTATGTGACCACGAGCCCAGGTGGGAGCTGGCTGTGTGACTGTCCCTGGCCTCTGAGCTTCAACCAGGCTGAGCCTCCTCCTGAAATTAGTTGAGACTCTGAGACGGAGGTATCGCATGCCACTGCTGTGGGTGCCGGGTCGTGAACCGAGGACCTTTAGGGCTGCAGGACAGGCTGAGCTCCCCCTGCTGGAGTCACGGTCAAGGTGCTGTGAAGGAGGGCGACTCCGAAACCCAACCTTCCAAACTGCTGTGGGACGCAAGTGACTTCACGGTTTGAGCCTGGCCGAGGTTTAGGGAAGTTCTGTGACTGCGGCATCGTAGGTCCACTCATCCAGTTAATGGAGGAGAAAAAGGACTTTCCCCTTCAAACCCCCCCCCCCCCCCCCCCCCCCAGTCTGTGGAGGCTGAGAACAAGAGGCAAATTTATCGGATCTGTAAAGGTCTTCCTGCTTACTGGGCAGGAGGATCTGGAAGCAGAGGGAGACCCGCCACGGAATCCGGGAGAACCACCGCAGTTCCCGCCAGGACTGCGGCGGGGGTGCCCCGGTCGGGCCCCTCAGAGAGGCCCAGCCTAGACTCCTGCATCACGACGGAGTAAGAAGCTCCTGCCCGCCCTGGCCAGGCAGCTCAGTTGGCTAGGGCGTCCTCCCACGCACCAAAAAGGTTGTGGGTTCAATCCCCGGTTGTGGTGGGTATGGGAGGCAACTGATCGATGTTTCTCTTTCCTTCCTCTCTCAAAAAATCAATGAAAACATACCCTTAGTTTTTATTATTAAGTTTTACCCATGGTTATTATTAAGAAATAATTATAAATAAAAAGCTACTGCCCATCAGGCAGGGTGCAGGCCGGACGTGCTGGGGGCATCATCACTGGACTTAGACCAAGGGCTGCTTCGTTTTCTAGATGGGGAACCACAGGTCAGAGAGGCGATCCCGCTGTCGAGGGCACGCGGAGCCCAGATGCAGGGGCCGCCCCCTGCCGGTCCCCAGCCCGCGGGGCCGGGGCCAGCCCAGGGGTCTGTACAGAGCTGCCCGACACCCGAAAGGCCCTACCCGCAGAGCTTGCGCATGCGCGCTGTCTGCGGGCCCCGCCCCCACCCACGCACACGGCTGCAACGTCAGACGGCTTCAGAAGTGCACTGAGTTCTCGGAATATTCCTCTTTTATGCTGGAACTTAAAGCGGCTCTTGTTTTTCTTACCTGTTGTAAAACCTTTTCTGTAAATATCTCTTGAAGTCTGGAAATTTCAACCATTTTCCCTTCAATTTGCCTTCATAAAAAAATAAGATTACATATTATTAGTACTTATAATCTTAAAAGGACTGTTACACATTTCTAAACAAACCTCTTTTAAGTGAAGGTGTGTGTGAGAGGGAGGGGACACACCACGTCATCGGTGAGCGGAGGAACACCACCTCGGGCTCCGGGAGGGAGGCGGCCAGTTCCCCTCGAATGCCTCCCGGCCTACTGGGGTGCCCTGGACCTCCCCGAAACCGCCGTCCTGCGTCAGCTGACCCACGGCCCTGCCTCCGAGTCTGCACAGGGCCAGAAGCACGGGCCTTCCCCCCACCTACCGAGGGAAAGCAATGCCTTGGAGCCTGGCCCTAGACTAGTAGCCACAGTGCCTTGGGGGGAGCCCAGTGGAAGCCCTAAGAGAGCACAGACACCCCAGCTCTGCTCCTGCCCAGCAGGCTAATGGAAAGGGCACCTTTGCCACCGAAACCAACTCTGCGTTGGAAGAGAAACCTCTGATGCTGTTTGCATCACCTCGCATCTGAGGTCGGCGCTTTTCCCCAAGTGGGGGGCAGCAGGGGTGGGCGCTGGGCTGGTGGGCATCTAGAAGGGGCGCTGGAGTGAGCTGCTGTCCTGGCATGAGCAGGGACAGGGAACAGAAGGCGAGAGACTGCAGGCACTGGGCTGAGTGCCCAGCCCAGGGGCCCAGCTGGGGGCAGGAGTCTTGACCAGAAGAGCGAGGGGAGTGGAGCAGCTGCCTGGGAGGGACAGGCTGGGGGAGCCAGGTAGCGCTCTGCTGGGGGAGGGCGGGGGACCTGCGCTCTGTTCCCAGGGCGGTGTGGACACAGCACCCAGGACTCAGCGCGCTCACTTCTGCTGGAATGTGCTCTCGCCACAGCAATGGTTCCGGGCCTTCCTTTGGGAAGGCTGGACAGTCCCAGGGCTGCAGGCCACTGGGGGTCTGGGAGACAGACCAGGGCAGCGTCTGCAGACCAGGGCAGCTGCCCTTCGCCAGCTGTCCTTCTCAAAGTCCCCATTTCACCTTAGAGACAGCAGACCCACGGCTGAGGGGCGTCAGTGGGTTCTGTGACCCCACAAGGCCCAGGGGGCTGCATGTTGCCGGAGAGCCAGGTGTGGGCCCCTGGGCAGCAGAGTGAGCGAAGAAAGGCCTGACACCCGTACCTCACTTCGTCACACAGGCTGTTCATCTCACCAACGAGGCGCTGGTTTTCTTGTTCAAACTGTGAGGAAACACACACATTAAAAATGACATCACGCTGAGCTCAAGTCTCAAAAGTGACGCAGCCAAAGGCATGGGCCCAGCACGATGCCTGCACAGGAGCTGCCGACCCCTCCTCCAGAATCACCCGTGTCGGTCCCGCTCAGAGTGCTGGGTGCTCTGGAAGCCCCTGGACGTTTGCTAGTATGCAAACGTCCGCTTCAGCCAGAAAATGAAAGTGCACCCGCAAGTCAGGCGGCCGGTGGCTGGACCGCTCCAACCTGTGCACCTGAGCTCCAGTGCACCTGACTCCAGCGGTTGGCTAGGAGACCACGTGGAGGGCCAGCCCGCGGTCCCATCTGCACTCCCCAGGGGGCTCCTTCGGGCCCTGGCCTTCCACCTCCGGGACCATTCTTTGTAAGTGGAGCAGTGAGTGGGTTGGCTTTGCCAACAGCAGGGACGTGGCAGAGCCGCACAGGGACACACCGGATTTCAGAGCTGCCCTTGACTGAGCCACAGGCACAGAACAGCCCTGGGCCAGAGACCTGGGGCTCAGCCTGGGTAAGAAGGGTCACCTCGACCCACCACCCGGGCAGCCCGTCAGCACCGGGTCGCTCAGCAGGTGGGCAGCTGCTCTCAGCGCCCTCGCCTTGACAGGGCCGGGCACACGGACAGAGCTCCTGGAGCTCCCCCATGGGGCGGGCCCACTCGACTCCCTGAACGCACAGTGCTCCTCTCCTCTCCCAGGTCCCTCGGACCCAGCCCAATGCCACCTTTTCCATGACACTGCCCCGGGCCCCCGAGCTCGAGGTTTTTCTCATGTTTCCAACCTGGGCCTAGTGTCTGAAAACCTCCCGGGACAGAACCATGTTCCACCTCGCACCAAGCTGTGCCCGTCCCCAACTCTGGAGAAGCCTCACACAGTCTCTGGTTCACGTCACTTAAAGCTGCGGTCACACCCACAGACTTCCTGAGGCGTCCTCTGTTGCCGGGCCGGGCCGTGTGGGGGACAGAGAGGCAAGTCCTTGCTCTCTGGTGGCTTTGCAATCCGCCTCCAGGTCTGGTCACCACATGGTTAGCAAAGCACCAACGGAGGAAGACTGTGGCTCTGGAACGCCTGCCGACCACCAGCCCTGCTGCACCTCCGCCCCCTCCCTGCCCCCTCCCCTTTGCCCTGCTCACCTCCTGCAGCCCCTCTCCCTTCCCGTCATCTGCGCTTTGCCCAGCGCCGGCTGCACTCGCTCCTTCCCTGTGGTCTAAGTTGCACCCTCACTCTCTCCCCTTCGCCCTGCCCTCCTCTCCTTGGTCACTTTGCCCTGCACTGCTCGGCGCTGCCCGGCCCCTTCGCCCCACGGCTCAGGGCTCAGGTGCCTGTAGTCTGTGGCCCGGCCTGCCGCATCCCTGTGGCACCGCCTGTGCGCCCCACCTCACCTGTGCCCCGGCTGGGGCTCGTGCCCTAGCAGGGCACTCCAGTGGGTCCCTCGGGCCTGCAGAGGGATGTTCTGCGTGACCGGGCGCATCAGAGCAGAGGAATCTCTCTCTCATCCCCTCTCTCTCCAGAACGCTCCCCTGCACGCTGCTCCCCCGTGCTCAGGGTCCACAGGCTCTTTCCCGGGACCCCCTCCATGGAAAGTCCCGGTGGGGTAGCTGGGGAGGGCCTGAGGACGTGGCACGTGAGTCCCGAAAGGCGTGAGGGCAGCAGTGAAGAGCAAGTGCTCAGCCACACGAGCGAGCGCCTCTGTGAAGGAGGCTCACACTGGGTGGAGACCGGACCCTTCCTCGGCCGGCAGAGCTCGGGTGCGACGCTCCACTCACCTTCCTGATGAGAGACTTGGGGTGGGAATGTACCCCGAGTCATCCTAAGTGCTGCCCCTGACCAACTAGGGGACCTTGGGCAGGACCCCTACTGCTTCTTGCCAAAGTTAAAAGGAGACGGCTATGCCCACCACCTCTCACTGTGAACATTAAGAATGTCACAGAGAAAACGCGTACTCAAAAGTTCTGTGCCCTGCGGATTGCTGTGCAGACTGAGGTGCCAGCCTCTGTCCAGGAGCCCCCCGGGACGCTGCTGTGTGGGGGCAGCTTCTCAGCTCTGTGGCGAAGGGCAGTGTTTCCAGGGGGCACCCCACCACGGGGCGCCGGGGGCCACTTGGCTGTGCCGTGCTGCTGTCCAGGGGCTGGCAGGGCTCCTGGAGACCCAGCCCGAGCTGGCAGACTACAGCGGACGGCGACCAGAGGACAGGGAGCGGCAACGAGGCGAGGGAAGCAGTTAAAGTGCAATTTTCAGTCACCACCTATGCTGTCTTCACATCGCCATGACACCAGCGATTCAAGCACTTAAAAGGCACCAGAGCCGCAATTATAAAAGACCACTTAGTCTCGAAGATATTTTACTGCTGCTGAAAAGATACTAATATTGCTAAAATTATTCCATGGCAATTTTTTGTTAATTATACTACTATAAATTTAAATGTATGTAAAACATACAAAAAATTAGAAAGCCTAGCAGACAGTCATGGCCGGTGTGGCTCAGTGGATTGAGTGCCAGTCTGTGAACCAAGGGGTCGCCAGTTCAATTCCCAGTCAGGGCACATGCCTGGGTTGCAGGCCAGGCCCCCAGTAGGGGGCACACAAGAGGTAACCACACATTGATGTTTCTCTCCCTCTCTTTCTTCCTCTCTTCCCCTCTCTAAAAATAAATACATAAAATCTTTTTAAAAAACCTAGTGGACAAATTGTATCTGAAATATTTACAATTTTTAAAGCTTGGTATAAAGATCAGGGCAAAGGTGTTCAGAATTCCTACTCAATGAATATTCTTGCTGGAACTAGTTAGAAACAAACCACCAGGCAGAGAACAGCATTACCATTTGTATTTCTTCTGGGGATAGTTCATCTTCACCCTTGCCGTCTCCCCAGGTTCCCAACTCGGGCTGTGCTTCAGTCGGAATCTTTTCTGTTAAAAAAAATTAAAAATAAACAGAAGACAAAATATTCACTTTAGAACAGGCAGACATACGACAAGCATGGAAAGAAAAGAACCTCCAGCCTGTCGGCCAACATCAGGGCACGGCAGCGTGGCTCTGCCACAGTGTGTGGGCTGGCGTGTCTGTACGGCGCACACGCGGGTTTAATGCATGCACATGTGCACTTGGTTGGTGTGTGTGTATGTGTGAGCCCACATGTGGGGGGTGGCATGAGGGGACCCGTGCAGTTTCAGTACTGCACTGACCTCAGCAATTCTTCCAGACCGGCCTTCCCTTGTATTTCACTTCAGAACACGCACACCCCCCTCCCTCTGCCTTTTGAAGAACGAAAACGTCTGGGCATTCTCACTGTGAAAAGCCACATACACACACAGAGTGTGGGAACAAACTGTCCCTTCCCACTGTGCTCCCACAGGTGGCCTCCGGGACTTCATCTGAGCACACTCCCACTGACTGTTCTAAAAACGGTGGCCTACCACATGTCTCGGAGACCACCCTATGTGGGCCCGCACAGACCCGCACCATTCTCGTAAGTCACTGTGCAGTGCTCCCTTGTGAGTGCCCTCTGTTCTCAGTAACCACAGCCCGCGACGGCCTCCGGCTGCTCAGCTTTCCCCAGACCACGGTGCCGGCGCCGGTCCTCGCTGTGCACACATTGGTGGACCCCAGCGCGGACCCCCGGCATGAGCAGCTGGAGGGCAGCGCGTGCACGGTTTAACGCCAGACCTGTTTGGTCACGACTGAAACACGGGTCCTGGCCACACGCGGTGCCTGGAGCACGGGCTCCAGGAAGGGCTGTGCCGCCAGGGTGGGGTAGAGAGGCCTGCGGGGTTTGTGGGGGAAGACGGGAGCGCGGGAGCCCACGGAAGGTCGGGGTGCTCCCCCTTGGGGGAGGCTGAGAGGGGGCCTGTTTCTAAAGGCTGCGTCTCAGTGGGCGGTGCCTCGGGGCTGGCAGGCTGTCGCGGACTCAGAGGCAGGTGCTGCTGCTTTTTTCTTTTCTTCTTAATCTCAAGAAACTTCCCACAGCTGGTCTCCACCCCGGTGATGGACAACGTCCACCAGAGTTTCTGTTCTGAGACTGACCGGGAAAAGGAGCACAACGTAACACCGATTTAGAGAAGGCCCACCGGGCAGGCCATGGTGCGGGGCGTGGCCACCCGGCTCACATCACCACCAAAACCCTCCATGCTGCCTGCAACTTCGACAAGTGTTTAAAAACCAGCTGTGTGGCCTCCCCCCAGAACTGTTATCGTGTTTCTAAAAGACACGGTTACACATAATCTTGTATACTCTGCACACGTGTGAAATATCTGTAATTTATAGACAGCAGACGCACTTGTACGTCTGGAAGCATCCTGGGACCTGACACGGAGCTGAGACAACTCTCTTTCAGTGACAGTGTCTGTGCTTCTCACTCATGCCAGCCCCGCCCCCAGAGCCGGCCATCTCCGAAGGGACCGTATCATGGCATCCATGTCAAGCTTTTGCTTTTATGGTTTTTAAGAACGTGAAATTAGGAACACAAACATCACTCGCCCCAGAAGCAAGAGAAAGTCATCTCTGAGCCGGATGGCGAGGGTCAGTTACGGGAACTCGCGTTCAGAGGGGCTCACCTGTTGTACCCCAGGAGCCAGGCTGACACCTGCTGCGAGGACCGGCCAGGACTCCCGTCACCGGTCCCTGCCCAGACCCGGCACGGCAAAGCCAGCAGACAAGGCCAGACGCCTGGGCCCAGCCCCCAGGGCCCTCACTGGGTCTGGCCCTGCCTGCCTTTCCAACCTCAGTTCCCACCCCCACCCGTACACATGCATCACCCGGTGCTTTCTTACTGGCTCCACTCCACACCCCTCTCCACGCCTCCTGGCCCCCGAGTAGTACTCATGGGTTCCTGCTGCCCCGGGACAAAGGGCAGTGCCTCAAAACTGGGGGCAGGGAGGCAGAGCCCCCTTTGCGGAGACAGACATGCGAGGACCCTTGGGCAGAGACCTCAGGCATCCCTGAGTCTCCAGTGCCGCCCGTGCTGCACAGCCCCGGCAGGCGGGCCCCTTCTCCTGGACTGGCCGGTCCCCCGGTGGTGGGGCAGTCCTCCCACCCTGTCCCAGCAGTGGCCACCACAGTCCACGGCAGCGGGAGAAAGGCCGGTGCCACGCTCCTCTGGCCTCACGTGAGCACAGACGCCACACGGGCCGGGACCAGGAGCCGCCTCGTCTGCTTTGTGTTCGTGCCCTCGGGTTGGAAGGAGGAGACACAAGGCAAGACTCTGATTCTAACTCACACCTGGATGCTCTTCAGGGGCAGGTTTTTCTTCTGACTCCTTTGAAGGGTCTTCGGAAACCTCAGAGGACGTGGATTCTCTGGTCTTTGGACTGGCTTCTGGTTCCAGCTTGGATCTACAAATAATTGGCAGTCATATAATTTACTTAAGCAACCGAATTCCATTTTGAAAGCAGGAGGGGCCCCACGTGCCCCTGCAGGCTCGTCCGCGCCCACCACTGGGAGCAGAGCGGCTGCCTCTAGGCCCAGGCGCCGCCCTGACACGCCTCCAGCGGGACTGACTACAAGGCCCTAGTGTCACGGCCCGCAGGACAAGGACGGAGCAGCCTGGCCACAGCACCAGGGGAGCGTGGCCCGCGTGGGCCGAAGGGGAGAGCGCAGGCTGCCTCCTCCCAGTCCAACACGCCTAGAGAGCTGGCTGTCTCCCACCAACGCAAAGTGCTGCTGCACACACACGCGTGCCCTTTACACGACACCTGGACAAGTGGTGTCTTAAAGTGGCTTAAACAGAAACGAACAAGACCTTAAATACTCACTGGATGGAGCCAACTCGGTTCAGCAACTGCACGTGGTGTTGCCTGCAGGCCCCGCCCACTGCGAGATCTCGGTCCACCTGCGGGGCGGGGCTCCCTCGCATCTGCGCGGAGGCGCCTCCAACCTCCCTGCCTCGGAAACCCCGCCCGCAGCTCTGCACTGCAGAGCCTGCCGCGGGCACGCACGGGGCAGGGTCCGGGTCCAGGAGGGTCCGGCTCTCGGTGCTTAGTAACTATGCACTGAATGAATGGACGCCTTACCACTTTCAGTAAAAGGCTAACGTGAGAGGAAAAACCTTGGTTATGAAACACCGTGCCTTGTAACGGCTTCGCTGGAACCCACGCAGTGCTAGGGGATTATAGGCAGAGTGGTGAGGATCTGTGGTGAGATCCGTGGTGAGCAGGCAGCCAGACTATGAACAAAAAGAGCCGTGTAAACCCAGGCGAAGATGAGATCAGTGTCAGCTGACACAACGCAGTGCGGCTGGACGGCAGCCGGGCTGCTTCACCCAAGGGCCTGACGGTTGCGGGTGCGGCCTGGGCGTGTGACCGGCACAGGGCTGGCCTGCCCGGAGCAAGTCTGAGAGTCGGCAGAAGCCCCCACACCTTTTACCCCTCAGCCTCAGAAGGCACACACTGTCCTCGCAGCCCTGTTCCACGCACGGCCCAGGCAGGTGCGATGGTCCACTCAGGCTCCAGGGGAGGGGAGGGGACCGAGGCCTCAGCCTCTGGATGGAGCAGCGATGACATCAAATTTTGAGAAGACCTCGTGGGTGGGGGTGGGTCTGGTATGCCTCCTTTGGGAAATGTGACTTGCTGTTGTGAGCATCGGAGACACGCACGGTGATGCGGAACAGGACACTCACCGCGGCCCCACCTCCCATGTGGGAGCAGTGACCACGTCCTGCATCCGAAGCGCCTGGTTTACAGTTAGAGGGTACAATGGAAGAGAAATTCCATTTGCAACGCCAGCACAAAAGGTAAACACTACCCGTAAAAAAAATAAAACAAAAACCACAGCATAAACTAAGTCAACAAAAAAAGTCCAAACCGCATATGTGAAAAAGTAAAAGATGTTCTTAAAAGATGCAAAAAAATACTATAACAAATGAGAAAATGTGTTATGTTCTTGGAGAGAAAAAGGAAGTGGACAGGACCAAACACCACAAAGATGCCAGACCCCCTAAGCTGCAGGTGCAGTGGGCCCCGTTCTGCAGCGGGGGAGGCAGCTGCGAGATCCACGGGACACACTCGAGAGTGGCCGGCCAACAAGCTGCATGCGCGCGCGCGCGCGCACACACACGCGCACACACACACACACGCAAGCTGACCCCCAGTCAGCGACCTGCGCGCGGGAGCTGGTGGGAAGAGCACTGATGCCCGCGCAGTGAGTGAGCATCTGGAAGAGACCGAGAAGGTGGAGGGCAGGTGAGTGAGCCTGCAACTCCAAAGTCTGACGCGGCCGCACGTTTGGAACGGTTTATAAAACGTGGTGGGGATGGGGAGGGGGTCGAAAAATAGCCAGGAAACCCCTAAAAAGAAAGTGTGACGTTAGGGCGTGAAAATGAAGCAGAACATTCAGAGTCAACTGCATACAGATCTTTGCTCTGCGGTGAGCGGGGCCGGGACAACAGGCGGTTCCACGGGGCGAGGGCAGCGAGGCCCCTTCCCTTCGGCTGTAGGTGCCAAGACAGACTCCAAACGCATCAGAGCTGCGGGCGGACCGTACCAGCGCGAAGTACACGGGCCTCGCGTACAAGGGGTACACGTCCCGGCATTCCCACTTCTTTGAGGGTGAAAGCCGGGCTCCCAGCACCCTCCCAGGAATGTCCACCACCCAGAGTTGCTGCAAAGATGAAATAAAATAGTGGACCAAAACAAAGCAGCATTTAGTGCTAAGCACTTCACCAACACTCAGAGCGCAGAAGTCACTGGGGGCTTCACAGGTAGGTTGTTTAGGCAAGACCTTGAAAGAGGAAGACTTCGCCAGAGAGGGCGGAAGTGTCCTGGACGCAGGGGACCCGAGAGGATGGTCATCTAACTTTGCAGATGTACTTGGCTGTTTATAAGGAATGATGCAACATGCCCGCCAGCCTGGATGAGAGTTCCGGTTGCTCCACATCCTCCCCAACATGTCACTTCTATTTAACCGCTCCAACACGTGTGAGATGGTATGTATGTTTTTAAACATCGATCTTGCTGTGAGCCAACCACATACAGAACAGCGAACCCTTTCTCTAGAGCTGCCAACCCGACGCCCCTCCAGTCCCCCCACACATCTCAGCATCTCCTCAACACAAGAGCACACTAGTACGCAACCAGAACACAACTGCCCGGGTCAGGAGACCCACAGCCAGCAGCCCTCCGTCCTTTCCCTACACACCACTCTCTTTTGACCAGGTATCGCCATCATGCCCTTTGAAACAGAAGGGCCCAGTTCAGAACCACACTGCCTGTCTGTCATTCCGACTTGGGCCGGCCCTCCAGGCTCCCGCATCCCCTGGCCTTGACACGGGGTGCTGTGCCCATTACCCGGGCAGGCCACCCGCAATTGGAGTCTGGCTGGCCTTTTCTTGTGGTGAGATTCAGGTCACATACTTGACCAGCTGCACCCGCTCGCTGGGACTGCCTGGTGGAGGCGGTGCCTGCCCCACTTTCCAAGGAGAAGCCACTCCCTCCTGCTTCATAATCAGTAAGGTCTGGGGCAGGGGACACTTTGACCCTAGGTAATGAACAATTTCAAACTTTCAACTGGGTCACTTATTTTCAGCTAGATGGGTGCATGATGTTCTATTTTGCTCAGTGGGTTACAACCTGCTACCACCACTGACTTGGATGCTCTGATTATCTCATTTGGCCAGTAGAAGCCCCTTCAAAATGGCTTATGTCCTTTTCACATGCTCCCATCATTCTATGAGGCCTCCCTGGCTGTCTGGTGCAACAAAACACTCCAGACTCATTTTATACTTGCCCTGCCCCAGAATCAGCCATTTCTCCAAGGAGCCCTGGTTCCTGGAGCTGAAACTGCTATCAACAAGCTAAGACCTGAGGGCTACGTGTGCTTATTGCCACTGGGGCATCACTGGTTCCAGGCCCTCTCAGTGGACAGTGCTAGAAAACGCACCCGTGCGTATGCACACCTGCACACAGAGATTCACAGCCACATCTGTCTCAAGATGGAAAGATACTGGAAGATCTCACGGAAACTGCAAGCCGTGAGTTCACACCAGTATGTTCCAGTCCCAACCAACACCCAGGGTTCGTCCTGGCCCCTTCCCTCTCGCTTCTCCAACAGGGAGACCCCTGGCTCCCATTACCCTCACACGGCACTCACCACCTGCTCAATCCCTCTGTGTACAATCAGCCCGCCATCTCCCCACCAGCCCTCCCCACGGGGATGCACCCTCTGCTCGCTGGGGCTCCCAGGCTCCTGCAGCGGAATCTGACCTGCTCTGGGAAGCGCGCACCCCGCCACTGTGTGTGCCCGCCTCACTCTGCCCCACTCCGGGCTGCGCGCTGACTGTTCACGAAGGGGGAGGCTTGACTGACTTTTAAAAAATTATGTCTTACTGATTACTACTACATTTGTCCTGACTCCCCCCTTTGCCTCCTCCACCCAGCACCTCCCACTCCCTCAGGCAACCACCCCCCCACCCACTGTTCACGTCCTTCAGTCATGCATCAGTTCTTTGGCTGCTCCATTTCCCATACGGTACTTTATCTCCCCACGGCTATTCCGTAACTACCTGTTTGTACTTAATCCCCTTTCCTCTTCTCCCATGGCCCCCACTCCCCTCCCACCTGGCAACCATTAAAATGCTCTCCATATCCATGACACTGTCCTGTTCTTCGTTAGTTTTTTACATTCAGTTGTTTTTTTGTTTTTCTTTTTTAAAGATTTTACTTATTTTTAGAGAGACAGGAGGCGAGGGGGGAAAGAGGGAGAGAAACATCAACGTGTGGTTGCCTCCCATTGCATCCCCCACTAGGGACCTGGCCCGCAACCCAGGTGTGTGCCCTGACTGGGAATTGAACCCACAACCCTTTAGTCTGCAGGCCGGCACTCAGTCCACTGAGCCACAGCAGCCAGGGCAAGATTCAATTGTTGATAGATATATATTTACTGCCATTTTATTGTTCATAGTTTTGATCTTTTTCTTAAATAGGCCCCTTTAACATTTCATATAATGATTTGACTATCATAAATTCCTTTAGTTTTTTTTCTCGTATGGGATGCTCACTATCTGCCCTTCAACTCTAAATGACGGCTTTGCTGGGTAGAGCAATCTTGGCTGTAGGTCCTTGTTTTTCATGACTTGGAATATTTCTTGCCAATTCCTTCTAGTCTGCGAAGTTTCTTTTGAGGAATTAAGTGATAGTCTTATGGGAGCTCCCCTGTAGGTAACTAACTGCTCTTCTCTTGTTGCTTTTAAAAGATTCTCTAACTTTTGGCGTTTTAATTATGATATGTCTCAGAGGGCCTTTTTGCATCCAACTTCTCTGGGACTCTGTGCTTCCTGGACTTGCATGTCAATTTCCTTCACAAAATTAGGCAAGTTCTCTTTCATTATTTTTTTCAAATA